TTTCAGTTTTTTGCAGATGGATATCCAGTTATGCCAGCACCATTTGTTAAAGAGACTGTCTTTTCCCCCAATTAATGGACTTTGGGCCTTTGTCAGATATCAGCTGCTCAAAGGTGGATGAATTTATGTCCGGATTCTCAGTTCTGTTCCATTGGTCTGTGTATCTGTTGTTGTACGAGTACCAGGCTGTTTTGACTACCGTGGCAGTATAATAGCTTCTAAAATCAGGTAGTGTGAGGCCTTCCACTTTGTTCTTCTTCTTGAGTAATGCTTTATTTTGGGCCTCTTCACTGGTGCCTTTTCTTAAGAGTGGAAGTAGATTAGTGATCAAGTAATGTCTCTTCTGTAGGTAGGTATAGAGCATTTTTGTTCAGCATACCTGAGGTGAGAAAACCCTGGTCAAAACTGGATTATAAGATGCTTAAATTCACATTAAGCTTGTTTGTATCAGGAAGTTAATTTATTAATTTATAGAGGACTATCTCTTCCTGGTATATAATCTTTTAAGGAAACTAAGACCTGGAAATTATTAGTGTATGTTCATTAATTTATTCATCATTAATTCAGAAAATATTCATTGAGTGTTTAATATGTACTAGATACTGTTTTAAGAACAAAATAAATGTTTATATACCTCTCAGAGTCTCATAGCCTGTTAGCAGGGAAAAGCAAAACAACAAATAATTACAGTACAGTTTAGCAGTACTGTGGCTTCGGTCACCTCTGCTGGGCCCCAGTGGAGATACGCAGATATATAGAAGTCTAGATGTGTACAAAGTGCTGTAGAAAGACAGAAGAGAAGGTCTGAGCAAATGTTATATTAGCTTTCAGGCTTTGACCACAGATCCTAATATAGCCACTTTGTGAACTGAGCTAGATCACAAGTGAGCATTTAAATTTATGCTCTCTGCTCCTTTTATACCCACTTTTCCCTGGGCTCCACCCTGGTTTCTACTTGGTCTTCTAGTGATCTCAGGGAGGAAGTGTCTACTTCAAATAGAGAGAACTCTAGGGTCCTCTTTCTATGCTAGCTGAGTTTGAGATGAGAGGCCAAGAGCATGATTCCCATAAGAGGGAGCCCAAAGAGACAAAAGTCCTCCTAGTTCTGTTTTATAGCACCTTCATGCCCCCTACCTGTAATAATGGAGGCCCACTGTAGGCCATTTAATCCTCGTATCATCACTTTTCCAGGAATGAAACCATAGGGGAACTTTTGAAATCTCCAAGATCACTAGTACTTAAGGTTTGAGAACCTCATGAAAACTATTGGCCTTCTCTCCAGAGAGATGCACATGCATATTTCACACCAAATGAAATCCATCCAGGGGCCCCAGGTTAAGAATTCTGGTCTAAAGGTGAAAGCAGTGCTTCCCAACATTTTTCACATCATGACACACATAGAAAATGATCATATTTGTACAGCACACTGGGATAAACTACAGTGGATTTGGGAGGCAACTATATGGGCAACTTTATATTACATAATTTTAATGAAAAAAATACAATATTAAGGATGATATTAAATCCTGAATGTATATAAAGCTTCCAAGGAGCCCTGGTAGCACAGTAGTTAAGCGCTAGGCTGCTAACCAAAAAGTCAGTGGTTTGAACCCACCAGCCATGCCACCACCCCTATAGGGTCGCCGTGAGTCGGAATTGACTCGAGAGCAATGGGTTGTTGTTGATAAAGCTTCCAAACATAATCTTTCCAAAAATTTAATGAAAAACCTGAGATTGCTCCTGTAAACATAACATTTTTAATATAGGGTTTTATTATTGAAATGGAGTCCCTGGGTAGTGCAAACAGTTAAATGCTGAACTAGTAACTGAAAGGTTGGAGGTTCATGTCCACCCAGATGTGCCTTGGAAGAAAAGTTTGGCAGTCTACATTTGAAAATATCAGACATTGAAAACTCTGTGAAGCACAGTTCTACTTTGACCCACATGGGGTTGCCATGAGTCAGAATCGACTCAGTAGCAACTTGTGTGATTGAAATGAGTGTATGCAATTCCTGAACTAGACAGTTTAGCAGTGATATCTTCAAATTTTGACAGTCATTATTAATGAGAACTTTGTTTAGACATGTAGGTGATAAAAAAATTTTAAATAATCTTTATAACAATTCAAAATTTACAAGTATAAATTATATTTGATTCTACTAGCTCTTGCTTTTCCTCCATTGACAAACGTAATATAGAAATATGTAGGTGCGGTATCTTGTGTTATGTGACTGGATTTAGATCTACTCAAATTGTTTTCATATCAAATATATATTGCAAAATAATGACAAAGCTCTAATTTGCAGAGCACGTCTGTGTTATTAAAGCAATCACTTTACAGCTAACTTGGGTGTAACTAAAGAGACACATAGCCATAAACATAGGGAAGAATTCAATATATGTGAAGAGAGAGATTGGGAGCTGGGTTTGTCAAGAGCATCTGGCAGGCCTCCCTGCTTTTCCCTTCCTCACCTTGGCACCTGGAACATGCACTCTTCCAGCAGCTCCAATGCTCAGTGTTTATGATGAGTAACAGTACATACTGCAGCTGGCTTCTGAAGGTGATGTCCTGGTGGTAGAACACTCATTTGCTTTGCTCAGAAAGTCATTCATTGTGCTTGCCACCTATAGGTCCATGTGGGACACTAGCGTGGGTCATCAGACTCTGATTCTTTTGGGCTGCCCTCTGAGAATCCCTAGATCAAACTGTCTCTTGCCACAAGTGAATTGCCTAGAGGGTCCAACCACTCCAGACCTTTCAGGCCCACCCCTAGGCCTAAGGGAATAACTATCTTGCAGTACATCTGTAACTCATTCATGGCACACCTAATGCAGTAGTATGTCACTTAAAAGGCTACAGTTTATGTAGCTAAACTGTTGATTGAAAGAGAGCAAGAAAACAAAAAAAGTTTTAAAAAATCATGGTTTCTGTCATTAATAATCCAATCTCATACATTTAAAATGACTTGGGCACAGTTACAAATTAATATAACAAGTATAAATTAATATAATACAGAATATGTAAGAGCTGAGAGTGACTGGAGCATGATTGAATCATGTGTTGCCTGTACCTGGTTGTAATTATTTTTTAATCTCAATAATTTTTTACTAACTTCATTTAACTGTATCAGTGTCCAGACAGGAAATAGAAACCATGCCAGTTATTTGAACAGGGAGAGTTTAACAAATAATTGTTAACTAGATATACAGTTGTTAAGTAGGTAACTAGAAGGTAAAAAGAAAAATCTAAGATATCACAGAGGTAGCAACTGCTACCATCTTTAGGGTTGGAAACAAAAACAACCAGAAGAAACAAAGGGGAAAACTTAGAAACCTAAAAGAGCGGCCCCACAGAACTGACACTCAGATGTCTGAGAACAAGATGCTGCTCAGCTGGTGTTGGTGTCTCTGAGCTTGGAATAGGGGCTCCATGGGCCTTGGGCCCAACCTTCTGAGATGGGATGCTGGCTGACTGGTCCTGGTGTCTTTGAGTCAATTAGACTAATTCTGCAAATGTTAGACATACTACAAACAGGATTCAGCTGCTGCTGAATGGGGCATTTTTTAATGTTATTTGTAGATAATCAACATTTTAGTAGGCTATACAGAAAGGAACTGCTGCTACCAGGGTGAAGAAGCATTGCTAGAGAGAAGGTTATTGGAACCAGAATGCTACAGGAAGCAGTAAGGCGGTAGACAGGAAACAGACGGGAAAGAGCAAGTCTTTTGTAATTACTCTGCCTTGGGCTCTGCCTCTGGTGCTCCTAATTGGCAAGGCAGAAATGTAGTTTTCAGAGTTCCAGTTCTAGCATCAAAAGTATACAAAAGGGTAGTTTTGGAGCTGAGACAGTAATTTAACTGACACTTGACCGATATGGAAGTTGATATCAAGAGTAGAATTTATCTCCCACCCTCTTGTTTGCAGTTAAATGAAGGCAGTTAAAGACTTGCTATTTTAACTTGCTTAAGTTTAAGCATTTGCTACTTTCTGTACCGCAGATCCATTCAGCATAATGTCACCAACGTAATGGACCAATGTGATGTTGACTGGAATGTCAAAATGCTCAACAGCTCTGTGGATTGTATTATGGCAGAGTTCGAGAATTGATAAAGCTCTGAGACGAGAATATGAAGGTATATTGTTGACCCTTCCAGGTAAAAGCAAACTGATTCTGGTGTTCCTTGCCAATTGGTATGGAGAAATAAGCATTTGCTAGGTCAATAGAATATGTAAGAATATAAGACAAGACTTTGTCTCACTTATTTTGGACATATTATCAGGAGAGACCAGTCCTGGAGAAGGACATCATGCTTGGTAAAGTAGAGGGTCAGCGAAAAAAAGGATGACCCTCAATGAGATGGATTGATACAGTGGCTGTTAACAATGGGCTCAAATATAGCAACGACTGTGAGGATGGGGCGTTTTGTTCTATTTTATATAATGTTGCTATGAGTTTGAAGCCAACTCGATGGCACCTAACAACAACAACAGGAAAATAGCTGCATACCAAGTGCAGGGGTTGTGTTGACTTGCTCCGGTAAAGATACTACATATGTAAAACAGCTGCAATAGGAGGCATCACTTGATTAAATTTATAATAATCCATATTAATTCTCCAAGATCCATCTGCCTTCTTCACAGGCCAAGAGACAAATTAAATGGACAAGAGATAGGTCTTAGCACCCCTGTATCTTTCAAGTCTTTGACAGTGGCAGTAATGTCTGCAATCCTTCTTCCCCCTACCCCAAGCCCTGGAAGCAATATTTTTAGTTCACTATCCTTGTGGGGGGTGGGGTGGGGTGGGGGAAGTTTCCAAGGACTTAAACTTGATGCTTCATACTATAGTAGTCCTTATTCTACGATCCGAGAGCCAGTATGGAGATTCTGCTAGTTACCAGGTATGTCAATTCTAATTACATATTCAGGAACTGGGGAAGTCACCACAGGGTAGTTTCATGGACCTGCTTGGCCCACTGTGATTCAAACTTGTTTAAGACTCCATTTCTCACTTGGCCAACACAAGCCCCCACTTTGACTGGGACTGTAGTAGTGTTTTGGATCCCCAAGAGCTAGCATCAATTTAAAGCCGTTGTTTATAAATCGCTGAAAAACCTGTTTTTTTTTTTTTTTTCCCCCACCACACAATCATTTTAGGAAATGAGCATTGGTCCCTTTGGGGAAGACTTGGAGGAAGATTTTCAATATATGCTATGCATGCTACAGGGTCCTTCTTCAAGGGAACCCCAGCATTCCCTTCAATTAAGAGGGTTGGGTCTGTGAACTGGCTTAGGTCTGGAAAATAGGTCAGAGGTTGGAAATTTCCACTGTGATAACCAAAGTCAGATTTTTGCTACCAGATATGAAGCTTTTTAATGTTATATGTAGGTAATCAACATTTTAGTAGGCTGTCCATCTATTTTTATAACCACAAATTTCCTGAGGGTAAAAAAATAAATGTGATTAATACTATATTTCTACTTTCTTTTACAATAAATGTGCCCACCTTGTCTTTAGTGGTTAAACACTGACATTTGGCCTCTGGTACTTTAAAATTGCATTATCAAGAAGTCCATCTCAGTGGTAACATCTCCTGCCATCATACCTGGCCTAAAGAAGAAAGCCACCACAGAGATTATCAAGGAGGCAGGTCCTTCCACTCACTAATGTATTTCTCAATGTCTTAGTAAAAGGATTGTTCTCTGGGTCCTCTTTGGTGGTGGTGGGGGAGAGTGTACTTTATGTGATAAATTCACTCCAACATTCCCATCTCCCTGAGTCCTTCCTTTACATTATGCCAGGGAAATGCTGGCATCTTAGCTTAATTAAACATAGTTCACAGTTCAGCCCAAGTTTTAGTCAATCTACCAAATAAACTGGTACAGTCATTTCCAGCTGTGCATGCTAACGTCTTAAATCCATAATATCTAGTAACTGTACCCATATCAATAAATTCTGCCCAAACCAATATTATATTCTGTCTTCTTGATTTAACTGCTTTATAATATATTCTCATGCATATTCCCTGGGTTTCTGACCATATATATGCAAATACTGAAATTCATTTGGTGTAAAAGCTAATTCCTCCTCGTCATACTCTGTATTTGCCCTGCTGGCACATTTTGAGGTCTAATTCCAGTTTATGGGTCTAGTGGCACTAAGAGGTGGTTAGGCTGAGTCTTGAGGAAAGTGGCATTTCCTTGCAAACCAACTGTCCCAGAGGAGGTTATTACAAGGTTTTCAATCAAGAGGAGGTTAGTCTCCTTAAACATAGGAGGACATACTGCTTCCATTGCCAAGAGTGGCTCAGGAGTTTGAGATTCTCTGTTTCTGAATCTAACTAGATGTCCGCATTCCAAATTTCAGGGTCCCCCTTTTCCCAATCAGTGACCCAGTTTTCACATGAGTAACTTGCCTAAGCTATGAATTCAATTAACACTGCAATTGTGTAACCTACATAATTAAATTTTGTGTTAAATTTTTGTCATCATATATAACAAAATTTGCATTTTAACCATTTTTATGTGTACATTCAGTGGCATTAATTACATTCACAATGTGGTACAGCCATCACTGCTATTTCCAAAGCTTTTTAATCACCCCAAACAGAAACTCTGTATTCATTAAGCAATAACTCTCCATTTTCCATTGCCCCCAGCCCCTGGTAACCTCTAATCTCCTTTCTGTCTCTATGAATTTGCCTATTTTAGATATTCATGTAAGTGGAATAATACAATATTAGTCGTTTTCTGCCTGGTTTATTTTATGTAGCATAATATTTTCAAGGTTCATTCATGTCATAGCATGTATTAGAACTTCATTCCTTTTTATGGCTGAATAATATTCCATTGTATGTATATACCACATTTTATTTATCCATTAATCTGTTGATGGATACTTGGGCTGTTTCCATCTTTTGACTGTGAACGTTGGTGTATAAGAATCTAAGTCTCTGCTTTCAAACCTTTTGAGTATTAAAAAAAAAAAAAGAAACTCATTGCCATCGAATCGACTCTGACTCATAGCGACCCTATAGGACAGAGCAAAGTCATGTGGTCATTCTATATTTAACTTTTTGAGGAACTGCCAGACCGTTTTCAACAGTGGTGGCACCATTTCATATTCCCAGCAGCAATGTATGAGAGTTCCAATTTCTCTACATCTTCATCAACCCTTGTTATTTTTCTTTTTTGATAACAGCCATCTTGTTGTTCTTGTTAGGTGCCGTCGAGTCAGTTCCGACTCATAGCAACCCTATAGGACAGAGCAGAACTGTCCCGTAGGGTTTCCAAGGAGTGCCTGGTGGATTCAGACTGCTGACATTTTGATTAGCAGCCGTAGCTCTTAACCACTACCCCACCAGGCCATCTTAGTGGGTGTGGAGTGCTATTTTATTGTGGTTTTGATTTGCATTTCCCTTATGACTAATGATGTTGAGTATCTTTTCATGTGCTTATTGATCATATGTATATCTTTTTTTGTTGCAATGTCTATTCAAATCCTTTTCCCATTTTTTAATTGGGTTGTCTTGTGGTTTTGTTGTTCAGTTATTGTTGAGTTTTTGTCCTTTATATATTCTGGATATTAAACCGTTATCAGATATATTATTTCCAAATATTTTCTACCATTCTCTAAGTTCTCTTTTCACTTTCTTGATAATGTCCTTTGATGCACAAAAGTTTTTAATTTTGATGAAGTCTGATTTATCTATTTTTTCTTTTGTTTCTTGTACTTTTAGTGTTGTATCTAAGAATCCACTGGCAAATCCAAGGTCATGAAGATTTGCACCTATGTTTTCTCCTAAGAGTTTTATGTTTTTAGTTCTTATATTTAAGTCATTGATCCATTTTGACTTAATTTTTGTATATCATATAAGGTAGGGGTCCAAGTTCTTTTTTTTTTTTTTTTACATGTGGAAATCCAATTGTCCCAGCACCATTTATTTTTAATGATAATTTATTTTTAACAAATATTGATTTTGTGGCTACGAGAAATAAGCGATTCTTTTAAAGTTGCTATAGAAGCTCTCTAGCAATAATTCTTTTCATGAAGTTTACTTTGCTTTATATTAAAATAGTCACTACAGCTCTCCTTTGATTTAAGTTTGCATGTTATAACTTTTTCCATCCTTTTAAGTTATTTCGTCTTTATATTTAAAGGTTTTTTGTTTTTTTTTTTTAGTAGATAGCATATTATTGTGTCTTGCTTTTGTCAAATCCAATCTAACAATCTCTGCCTTTTAATTGGGGTGTTCAGATCCCTATATTTTCTTCTAAGAGTTTCATATTTTAGTTTTTACATTTAGGTCTTTGATCATTTTGAATTAATTTTTGTATGTCGTGTGAAGTATAGGTCCAACTTCATTCTTTTACATGTGGAGATAAAGTTGTCCCAGCACCATTTGTTGAAGAGGGTCTTCTTTCCCCATTGAATGGATTTGGTGCACTTATAGAAAATCAATTGGCCATAGATGAATGAGTTTATTTCTGGAGTCTCAATCTATTCTATTGGTCTATATTGTCACTTCTTATACAAGTAGCACACTGTTTGGATTACGGCAGCTTTGTAGTACATTTAAAAATTGGGAAATGTGAGTCCTCTTACTTTGTTGTGGTTTTTTTTTTTTTTTTTTTTTTTGAGATTGTTTTGGCAGTATGAGGTCTTTTGCAATTCCATATAAATTTGAGGATCAGCTTTTTTTATTTCTGCAAAAACGGCTTGGAATTTAAATAGGAATTATGTTGTATTCATAGGTCACGTTGGATAGAATTGACCTCTTAACGATATTAAGTCTTCCAGTCCACGAACACAGGATATCTTTCCATTTGTTTTCTTCAAGTTACCATCAAGTCAGTTCCAAATCATGGCAACCCCATGTGTGTCAAAGTAGAACTATGCTCCACAGGATTTTCAGTGACTGCTTTTTCAGAAGTAGATTGTGAGGCCTTTCTTTAGAAGTGCCTCTGGGTAGACTCTAACCACCAACCTTTCAACTAGCAGCCAAATGTTTTAACCATTTGCACCTCCCAAGGATTCCTTCATTTATTTAGATTGCCTTTAATTTCTTTCAGCAGTGTTCTATGGTTTTCAGTGTAAAGATCTTACATATCATTGGTTGAATGCTTTCCTAGGTATT